CACGCACTCACGCACGCACGCACGCACGCACGCACGCACGCACGCACGCACGCACGCACGCACGCACGCACGCACGCACGCACGCACGCACCCACACACACACACACACACACACACACACACACACTCCATGGACACAAATGAACTCCATGGACAAAAATGTTTATGGAAGCCATGCAGCCACTTTCCAAAGGTCAATCTCCATACTAGCGGGAGGATTCCGTGCGAAGGCGCCAATTTACCTCTTGCATTTGTGCCGCAACGGGGTCCTGCCCGACTCCCTATTCAAGGGATGGTCAGAGTTCCCTTCAACATACTCACAATCCTCGCTAGACTCACAATCCTCACGGCGCGCAGGAATCGCTGTTCACATCGACCAGATCCCGAGCGCAACGAACTGAACGCAAAGCCGCAAAGCCCCAATTGCCCAGAAACCCCGTGCCTGTCACCGGTCCGGTCTGCCCCACAAAGGAGGGCACGCCTCCCGGAGATTGACCCTGATACTGGGCATTTGCTTCCAAGGGAAACCAAGTTGGATTTCGCCAGGTACGGGAGTTCTCAATCCAAGGAACTCATGTAAACCTCGACTGGAAATGATACATGAATGAGCACACTTCAACCAGTTGGGAATTTCCATGGGCCAGGATGCCTCTGCGCGTCCAAAGGAGTTCAAATGAGCTGTGACTCCTTTTTTAAGATTGGACCCTCCAAAACTCCTGTTGGCGTCCCTTCAAGCCAAAAGAAAAAACAAGTACCGCCAAAAAAAAGACCGACCCGTATAAAAGATACTCACCACTGCCCCGGGGATTTGGGGCACGCCGCAATTTCATGTGGGGGTTGATCAATACTCTTGGCCCCAAAATGACCCTGCATTGGGTGGTGAAAGCCAAATCTTTGTCTTGCGGTTTCACTGATGGTCATCCCATGTAAAAGACCTTTTGATCAACCCCCCTTGCTTTCATGGAAGAATCATCATCCTGGTGGCTCAATTTTGACCCTTACACCAAGAATTGGCATATCTCCAGTTGTCCGCGGCTCGGTCAACTCTCCCATGTCATCTTTCATGGTTAAACATGCGATTTGATCGGAGGCGGAAGCTTCCGACAGTGGCCTGTGGACGAAAAACTGCACGAGTTGGGAATGGGAACCCCCAGATTCGTCAACCCTAGTACATTGATAGCAGGGGTGTCCCTGGGTGTCGTGGGGAATGACTACTGTTGGAGGGCCTACTAATAGGAGGGGTTTGTGAAGTTGCTAGGTGTTCTTTCCAACCCTTGGTACGGTAGTAAAAATAAAAGCCTGTTTTGTTTGGCTACAGATCATCAGGAACAAAAACAAATAAAACCTGAGACATGCCAACAACAGTGATGTGTTTGTCTCTGTATCTCGAGGGATCCATCCCTGGTCCGGAATGCGTTTTGTCCCATGGCGAAAAAAATGTTGCGACCAGCCCCGACCTCCCCTTCACGGAAAGGCCGCTGAAGCGAGGCGAAAGTTTTGAATGTCGTGAAGGTCGGAGCCGAAGCTTGAGCGCAGCAAGAAAACGGACACACGCACATCAGGAATCTCGGTTGCTTTCTGCTCCCCTGAAAAAGTTTAACCTTTAGTGGGTTGATGGAAAACCCATGAGTTTGCAAAAAGTTCAAGTCCTAACATCCAAGCAAAATGCACCAAAGGAATCATAGGATTCGTCGGGAACCAGGTTCCCCCCCCTTTTTTCCCCGGCCTGCAAGCAGCGCTAAGCACAGCAGCCGTCCTGCTCTTTCGGCCTCCCTTGGTTGCCCTCTACAGCACATGGGGTGTGGTTCCCTTTTGTTGGCGGGTACCATGGTTGGTTGCTTCTAAGGGGCAACCAGAAACCACCGGGATCGCCAGTTGCAGCTTCTCTTTCTCCCCATGCGCTAAAAACCCCAAAAGCCAGCAGGGGCTGAACATTTAAAAAAACTGCAACTTGGCTAGTAAACCATTTCTGGGGTTCCCAAAAAAACAAGGGGTTCGAGGCTCTCAAGTCAAAAGCCCTCAGCAAGGGGACACACGCAAGAGGTGTTCAGAGAGGTTCCCATGCGGGTGCGGTTCCTTTCTTTTGGGGATTTTTAAGACCCACACCAAAAGACAAGCGTTCATGTTTGAGGTCCCCGAAAAAAGACACGCCCATTCCAGGTCCAAAAGTATACTTGTTGCAAAAGCTGTGAGATCCTGGCGAAACTTTGAACAATGACCAAACTCCAGAAATAGTTGCTGACCGCGGAATGCACCGTGCTGAGAGTAACAGGCACCGCACGTTTCTTTTTTTCGGGTTTGCTTCCGGGGCCTGGTGAACGGGAGCCAGGTGAAGCCAAGCTTTGGGGGAGCCATTGGGAATGGGAAACCTTGGATGAATACTAGGCCCTCCAGATTTGAGAGGTTATAAGGGTGCCCCAATTGTTTTTTCTGTAGTCTATCTTAGTAGGGGAACCCTCCCAACCAAAAAAGTTGGTGAAAGCACGACTGGGGGAGCTAGAATACACCCATCCCATCACAAAAGTGGCTGGGGAACCCCCCACACCCTCCCAAACAACATCCAAGGGTTCGGTCCGGAGTCTCTCCCTTGCCTTCCTTCGCAACCGAAAGCGAAGAGTCCTGCCACTCGTAGGCCCGGCGCCCGGCCCATGGCTCAGAATCTTGGCCCTGAGAAAGAAGCAAAAATCAGGGGCCCAGGTCGAGCGAAAAGTTGGAAGGAATCAAAGGGCCCCGGAACTCTGCGCCATTGTTTCCCATGCGCCGAAAAGAAGAAAACCTGTTTGGTGTTTCCTTCTCCCGCTTGGCTGCGTGCCTTCTTCTGCTTTCACTGCGTGATGCGCCTGCTTTCAGTGCAGGCGATGCCAAAACACACTTTTGGCGCCTTGACCAGCCGCTTCACCCTTCGATGAAGAGATCGGAGCCATACCCCGCTCCGTGCAAAGCGGCGGTTGTTTAATACCCGACGGTCAAATTGCGTTTCCCCTCTTGGGAGACGTCATGGACTCGGCTCCCCCGACGCAACCTGCTGGCGCAATTCCTTCTCGGAATTGGGGTTGGCCTGCCCAACCGTGCACCTTTATCACCCAGGAAGTGGACCCTTAGAAGTTAGTTCGCAACCACATACCTTGTCATAAATGCCTGAGCAGTTCGGGGTTGCAACATCGCCTCTTGCCGGTTCAGGAATGACCCGACAAAAACCCATCCCATCCCATCTCATGGTCTCCTTCCTTCGGGAATCCCCCAAAACGCCTTTCTTCGCATCATGCAACACCCACCTGGCAGTCTGACTCAAAACTTCTCTCAGCCGCCGGGCTGGGACAGCGTCCCCGTCCGCCGCACCCGGTGCATGGGCATCACCTCACTGGTCATCGTGCGCGTGAGGTCAGGGAGAAAAAAAAAAAGCCCGGTCACTTTGGAATATCTCGGGAATCCGTTTTGAGGGGTGATTGGCAATGAAACTTTGGACATATGTCGGGGAAGGCATTTTGAGGGGAGATTGGGAAGGCGCCCGTAATCTGAGGGAAGGGTTTTGGAGCACAGGGTTTTAACATTCCAAATTCAGGTCCCGGGCCATGTGGGTATCTGCAACGGACCATGTTTCGCCAAGTGGGAAAAAACGAAACAAAAAACGAGGCGGCTCATTTTCGACAGTTGCAGGGGTACCTTCCCCATTCTGTCCAGGGATCCAAATCTTTCCGGCAAACCTCCGGAAACCCAGGAAAAAGGGCTGGTTATTGAAAAGAACCATGGTCGAAAAACAAAAAGTTGAAACAACCCCTAGAACCTCCAGGTTGTGCTACAAACAAAAGAAGAGCTGCTCATCCTGCCCTTGCTGTATTACGTATAGCTACATTGCTATGGGTCAAAAATGGCGACCAAAATGGAACCCTGGTAAATGGAACCCAGGATTAAAACCTGGGGTCCCCCGGTGGTTTAAGTTTGACCCACACCCACATGTCTGCTCGTAAAGCACACCCTCGCTGCATGATTGCAAAGAAACAGGATTCCTATGATCATCTGACCCCTGACAAGGTCTCAGGCATGGTTGTTGGAGAAACTACATACGCTACAAGCATTTCTTGCATGAGGGTTCATTGCACATTTGCTTGGGCGCGCTGCGTCAGCTGTCCTGATCAAAGACGGCTGTCTTCAGGGATGAGCCAAACACGAACAGAAGGGCACTACAGCAATTGGGTATGTGTCAATATTTGGTGAACCCCCCAGTCTGGTGGCTATCCTTTTAGTTTGCCTTCAAACCAGTCTTAAGGGTACCCTCAATCGAGCGCAAACCCGTTTCTGGTTTCGCGACACGAGTTCGCTAAGCATCAAGGGTCCGAAGCTCTGGGTATCAACTTTCATCGGGGACATTGAGATGGTCGAGATCAGAGTCCAGCCACCCAGTGTTGAGGCCGGTTTGGCCGGGACGACTATGGGAGTGTCATCGAATTGGTTTTGGGGGGAACGCTGGACTTCTCCGCCAGAGAGCGGAGAAGGACAATCTGGCTGAGCCTGAACACTCCAGGCACCCCATCGCTCAGCTCAGGATTTTTCCCCACTAACAAAAGAATTGGCGTCCCCTCTAAAAATGGACCAGCATTCCCAAGAGAATTGGCTTCCCAACTAGAAATGGACCAGGAGTTCCAAGCAGCCCCAGAATTAGCTTACCCAGAAATGGGCCAGGAACATCAGAATCAAGACAAAGAAATCCCAGCAGTTGAGCCACTTGCAAAGCCATTCCACTTCCAACGGCTCCAACTGCTCCAACGGCTCGCGCGCTGACGGCCCGGGCGGTGATTTGCCCCCCGGAGGCGGCCTGGTTGCTGCCGAAGCTCTGGACCACCAAGACCTGCCGCCCCGATGCGGAACCTCTCTCCCGAACTCCCCTTCGCTTCGGTTGGGCGCTGGCGCGCGCCAGGAGTTTGGGATGACTTCGCTCCGAACGAAGCAGCCGCCCCACGCGTTTCAGCGGCGATCCTAAGCCGAGGAGACCGAGCGCCAGGCGCGGAAAAACAAATCAAGACCTCCGAAGACCAGATCCCAACTGCAGGTACCGCGCGGGAGTGGTCACTCGTCTGGGTGAGAGAAGCCACTCATGATGTTGGAAGTATTTGTGGTGTGGAACTGGTGTGAGAACAGCCGAACCGAGAAAAAGACTGCCATGGCTGATGCGTGGCTTATATCTCACCAAGCTTACTAGCCACCACTTAAGCCGACGTGCCAGCTGCCCCCAGCCCAGTCTCCCCAGCTGAAGGAAAGGAGCCCAGCGTTTTGTGATCAGATGGGTATGGGTCAAAATTAAACCACCAGGGGACCGCAGGTTTTGGTCCATGTTTCCATTTACCAGGGATCCATGTTGGGTGCCTTTTTTTGACCCACACTCAGATGAGCTGAGATTGCACTGGGCCGGCTGGAGCAAAGGATCCTTTCTGGCGTTGGGTCAACCCCTGAAGTCAAAACAAAGCCTATTGAACCAATTCAGACAACCCTCGGGCGCATGAAAAGGTACCAAATGGGTGCACAGCGCCTTGCATTCCATGCAGCGCAAGGTTTCTAAAAATGGCTTGAAGAAAAAGACCCTGCACCCTCCCACTATGAGCTTGACAACAGAGGAAAGCTGAAGGAAGTTGCTCAAGAAAAAGATCAGACCATAGGTGTCCTTGGGGAAATAGATGGATTTCCCTGGTAGATGATCTTGCACCAAGTAAACCAGGAATCGAAACCCCTTGATTTTTTGAGCAAAAGAACCAAAAAGGACACCTATGCTTCTGGCACCCTGCCCCAACTCTCACCCAGCCCGGCTCAGACCCAAACCAGGAAGCCGAAGGGCAAAGAAACGGGAGCAGAAGGTGCAGTTTCCATGTCCCAAGGTCCCCAAGGTCCTCTTTAAAAAAAAAAAAAAACTCTAAACCCCCATAAACCCCCTCTAAACCCCCCCATAAACCCCCCCTAAACCCCATACACCCCCTAAACCCCATAACCCCCCCCCCTAAACCCCCTAAACCCCAATAAACTCCGGAAACCTCCAAAACCCCTAAACCCCTAAACCCCTAAACCCCTAAACCCCTAAACCCCTAAACCCCTATATAAACCCCTAAACCCCTAAACCCCTAAACCCCTAAACCCCTAAACCCCTAAACCCCTACCCTACCTACCCCCTCCCCCGCCCGGCGACGGATCCGGCCTGGAGCACCGTACCCACCTCTTCGAGCTGCGAGGCCTCAAATTTCAAAGAACTCGCCAGCCGCTTTGGGACAAACCCTGGAGGCTTCATGAGTTAAAAGGATGGCAGTGTTCAAGGAATTACATTGGAGAAATATCTACATGAAACCGTCTCATAGCCAAATCTAGGAAATAGACCATCATTATTCATCTTCAAATCCCAAGATTTCTAGTCTTATATTATTTCCCTTTCCTGTCTGTTAAAGAGATCTCTCTATATCCCATGTCCTGACGAGTCCATGAGATAGAGGATTACATCTGTTCCACCGACAGGATAGAGAGGTGGAGGAACAGAGATTACATGCTTTTATAATTCCTTTTACTTTATGTTTACATTTTGGATATTTTATAAATCTAGGAATTAATAGCTGATACAAGGGATAAATTCTTGAGTCAATAATCTTTCTCTTTTGGACGTGTATCAGCTATTACATCAGGTTCTTTTCATCTTAGAATCATGCCTTTTATCTTATTAGGATTACATTTATTATTGTAAACTAATTAAAAATCATGATTCATAAGATAGAGATGGAAAGAGATCTAGAATTCTAAGATATGCAACATAATAAATCTCAAGGTTATTCCTAACATCTGGATCTGGGATAAAGTGAATTCTTCTTTGTCCACCACCTAATCTTCACTGTAGGACCTATCCCAGATTCAAGAAGGTAGGTAAGGACTAAGAGAGATTGATGATGAGGAAGTAAAAAGCATTATTCCGGATTCTTCATTGGTAGTCATATCCTGGATCCATAAATGCCTTTCATTATCTGAGGATCTGGATCTCTATGTAACACCTCTAACCGTGTAACCGAAAGAAGGAGAATGAGGCAGTGGGTTGTTACAGGTGTACATAATGCATGCGTGTATATATATATATGTATATATATATATTATATTTGTACTGTATATATATATATAATATGTATGTAGAAAGATTTATTCTCTGTAAAAATAGCCCCACGGAAGTGTAAGTTGTGTACTTCAAAATATGTCTTGGTCATGATAGTAGTCGTGATTCCACTGGCCAGGCAAAAGTTGCGCTTCTTGAAGGTCTGAGCGATTGCAACCCTTTCCCCCCTACAATCCTTCAGGACGAGACCTACCGGGGTGTGCACGGTCAATTTTGGACCTGGGAAGCGTTTTATTATGATAAATAAAAAAACATGGTGATAATTGACCGTCCCACGCCTGCTTGTGAATTCCATCCGTGGCTGACCTGAAAGCGTCTTTTCAAAACAGGCAAGAAGCATACACTTTTTGTCTGACTGAAGTAGATTTAGGCCCTTATGCAAAATGGCCAAGTCCAAAGCACGGACGCCCATGTGGGTCGTCTTGATTGGAAGATAATTCAAGCAAAGAATTGCTTGAAGCCACGTATTTTGGCACACTACAAATCCAGGGACAGGCTGTTGTCGAGAGGCAGACTTTGCACAAGCCTTATATATTGTATCATCCTTCGAAGCTTTGTTCAAGGCGGAGTCACCAACATCGTGTGCGTGGTTTGGTGCCCGAAAAGCTCAAATTCCGCTTCATGGATTTATGGAAACAGAGTCTGTGGGTCTGGGTAAAGAAAAATCAGCACGCACCCGTCATCCGCCTGCCCCCCGAGTGTGCTCTGAGCCATGGAAAGTTCAACCGTATGGCAGCAAAAATCCTTTTTTTTGCAGGCCTCCCCCCCCCCAACAAAAAAAAGAAAAGAACAGACCCCCCCCAAAAAAAAAAAACTAAAAACATGCCAACAACAGTGAAGTGAGCGATTGCCAACTACAGGCTCACCACCCATCTCCCCCCACTCACCAACTCTTAACTGAACCTGACTGCTCGACCTCCGGCACTCGGCGATGTGCCCGTTATCTGCCCGTATGTCCAGTACCCACCAAGGTGCTCCAACGCAAAAACTTTCCTGAGAAGCTGGTGGCTACTGTGGCTAGTACCGCAGATGCAATCGCGTCTCATGATTCCACCACGTGCCTTTTGAGAAAAAGCACCGGACCCATTGACCAGTTGATCCCCTGGATGGCGGGAAAGGCCTTGGAGCCCCAAGACCCCCCTGATGCCAAGTCTTTGTCGAAAAATGTTCGATCTCATCTCAGCTTTGTTGGGTGAAGGAAGACATTGCCAGCGGTAACCTCTGATGACAAGATCTGCAGACCTCGAAAACAAGCGCTCTCACGCTTGCGCTAGAAGCTGAGAGGGCAGCACGTTTTAAGCCTTCAGAATGGAATCCGACATCTTGAAGCCGACATATTCTGAGGCCATCTGGGTCGATCGACGACCAAGCCAAGATGCTGCACGCCCACTTGTGCGGGTGTGCAGCAAATAAACAACTCAACCGGGCGAGCTGGTAGCGCGCGTGATGGAAGACGTGCTTGGCTTCAAGAAGTAGCAACGCCAACCAAGGGCCTAACATACTTCTCAACTTTTGCTCTGGGGATGACGACCAAGTCCTGGAAACGGCAGCCAATGGGCCAAGAGTGGTTTGATGTTTGTTGTGTGCAACATCCTCATCAACTGCGCGCTGCGTCCACCATGGTCACCATGCAGCAAGGCGTCCAAAATTGGGCACAAAGATTGGACGCACCTGGGAAAAGTGCCTGGGCCTCCCAAGCACACAGCCTCCGATTTTTGCAGACAGGGCCTTTTTCAGAGGATCGCCAGTGAGTCGCAAGCGAGTGTTGTCAGACTGGCGACTCCAGGCCCTGCCGGGAAGATATTTAGCCCGTAGGTGACCCTTTGGAAAAAATGGATGGGTTTGTGGAGTAAAACCCATCTAAGCCAGGTGGATCCAGCGATGTAATTTGTTTAACCAGACGAACGGAAAAAAGGACACCTACACGGCAGCCGACATGTTTACACACTGTACAATCCGGAGGCGCAACCCATTTTGGGGACCGGGGACCCGCTCCGCAAGCCTTGGCCAAGCGGGTGAATGTATTTTGCAGTCGCTCTGGACCGCGCAGAATTCAAGCGAACCAATGAGCCATAGTCAAAACCCGGCAGTAAGATGGTCGTCATCCCGGAAAGATGTGAAGAATTATGATACGGCGGATTCCCGCGGCTATTTATGGCAAGGGGATTGTCCCTGACTCACCTTAAGTGGCTCAAATAAGTGTGGTGGTCAAACATCGGGTAGCCCCCAAAAGTGGGTTGCCCGATCGGTAAATGGAAGGAATGCAAACCTGCAGCTGGGTTTTAAAAAAAATGAGTCTCAAAGGTCGAGAAACCCGAAAATATATAACCCTGGCAAATGAAAACCAGGACTACGACTAAAACCTGCGGTTCATGTGGGAGGAAAAAAAAAAACGGATGACCCTATCTCATAGCCATCCGGCGGCAGCAGCCAAGCGCTTCTGCCTCCGATGCGGCAAGCTCTGAGTGGCTAAACCAAAGTCGTTGTCTTGCTTTGCCCATATGGGTGTCTCTTTTTTCGAGGCACCCCTTGTTTGGTGGCTTTAAAGGGAAACCAAAGAGAAACCACCATCCTGTTTATCTCTTGTTTTTTGGGGGTCCCTATTGTAAGACAAGCCCATCCGCAACTCGCGCTATGCTTTCTATGCAACAAAGAGGAACACATCATGAATGAAACTATGCAAATAAAAACAAAGTCATCGTTCAAGTTGTTCTGAATTTCTCGCCCAAAAACATGTAGGAATGCTTCGGAGTGCCTTTCTGGCGGCAGGTGCAACCCGCCTTGCGGGTAGGTTTTCCAGCCTAGAAACTCGAACTTCCCGGCAACGCATCATTTCGACCAAAAAGGACACCTATGGGTACAATCCAACGCCCCATCGGCCCGATGAACTGTGAACTTCGCAGGGGCCCTTGCAGTCGGGTTCGAAGGGCAAATCTGGCATGGTCTTCTTTCCTGAGGGGGCCGGCTCGGAATTTCCGCTTCTTGTTGGCGCTGATGCTCTCCATCTTTGCCCCTGGCTACAAATCCCTGCTTATCAGCTCGTGAGCTCGTTTGTGCGCCCCAGGCTTCGCCAACCGTTGGAACTCTTCCGGCACACTCTGAGTTTCTTGAAACTCTTGGGAGCCACTCATCAAAGCTGCTGGGTCCTCCAGTAGAGAGGTTAGAATAAGTTGGTACCCGATTCTTTTTCCGTCGTTTATCAAAAATGGGGTTCAAACGGGCACCTAGCTGGCGGACCTAGGCTGTCACCGCACACATTTCGCTCAGGCCGCCTGAGCTCCTCGTCCAAGCGGGCCACCGCCCTGCCCGCGGCGTCCTGGAGTTCCCAGCCAACATTGTCCCTTTGGGGGAAATAGATGGAGATCCCTGCAACCAGGTAAAGCAGCCACCCTCATTTTTTCGACCGAAACAACCCACAAAGGACACCTATGATGGTTCTGACAAATCCACAATGCGAGAAGAATCGCAGGGATGAACAGGCGGGAGCAAAGTGGCAAAGTGGAACGTTGCAGAGCCAGCTGGACCAACTCCCCCGCCTCCCCAACCCACCTCCCCCAACTCCCCCACTTAGCCCACCTCCCCCAACCTCCCCCAACCTCCCCCGCCTCCCCCTCCCCCGCCTCTGGGCCCTCGGCTTTCAGCTGCAACCTGTGCTCCAAATCCCGCAGCTGCTGCCAAAAGCCCAAGTTCGGCCGGATGAAGTCCTCGACGCTTCGGAGAAAAAGGAAAAAAACGCGTCCCCACCAAGGTCCCCGCGCCGAAAAGCTGCGGAGAACCGCCGGCCCCGAGAAGTCCCAAGGCCCCCGAAAGCCTCGGAGCTCCAAAAAACCGCGCGCAAGGCTTGTCTAGAGCTCGCTGCTTCGTCTTGCACCTCACCAATCGTCCCATGAAGCGGCTGTCATCACGTTTCAGATGCTCAAGCACGTCTTTGCATGTTCCAAAGGGCCCGCAACGAATGGTCACACAGGCCACTCTTATCGTGTCTCTACGGGGTGTGTCCTTTTTTAGGAATTGGACCGCCCAAACTTGCGCAACTAGAGCCAGCCAGCCACTCTGGTGGGCCACAGCCTTGGGCGTGTAGCGGC